ATGCTCTACTTATGCTTTTCACGGGGGATGAATAGGCAGTCTATCCCGTTAACTGGTATGATGCTACTAGTGTTTCTACTAGTAGCGTGCTGTTGCAGGAGCGGACAATTGGCATCTCCTATGACACCACCATGTTAAAAATACCAGTCGCTAACATTGAAAAAGGATACAACGTGAACTAGTTGGGCTGAAACGCAAACTGGTAGCATTCTGGTTCACAGCTGGTAGCTTTCCCTACAGGGAGCGTACTGAATACCAAATAGTCTCAAAATCCAAGTTCACCACCAAAAGTCACTATTAGTGACTAGAGACCGCTTACTGAATGCCAGGGTTATGTAGATAATTATTTTGGCGACGACACGGCAACACTGCGACTAGCCAAAAATGTAGCTGTGACCAGATTGGATCTATTTCTATTTTTCTAGCGACAGATAAGATTCTTCCTCTTCTTTTATGTCAAACTCAAACAAATTCATTTGTCTCTGCCGCGCTCAAAAAAATCATGTCGCCGTCGACAAGGCGTTTAGATTATGTATGTATGTATGCTCATAGAATTCCAGGGAAGTCTCGAAGTCAAATTGAAGTGATTTTGTTTTTGTTTCCTACGCTTTTATTGTCGCTTAGCCGGCGGCGCCACAATGCAGCCATACGTATGTATGTACATACATATGTACGTATGCTAAGCTAGCCAATGCGCGTTTTCTGTGTTCATGTGCCGACGTAGAGTCTACGTGCGTAAATATGTTAGCGCATAGAATTCAAGCGACGGTTTAACGTCAAATCGAAGTGATTTTGTTTTTGTTTTCTACGCTATTCTCGTCGCTTTGCCGGCCGCTCATATGTGTGTATGTTTGTACGTGCCTTAAGCTACAATCTGGGGATGCAAGTCAAAAAAATACATCGATGTTTTTTTCGATACGATGCATCGAAATGTTGCATCGATTCATATCGATGTATCGTATAAAAACATCGATGTTTTCGATGCATCGGATTAGAATATCAACAGTTTGTTTCAAATTAAAATATATAACAGAAAATTAAACGATACGAATTTCAATAAATATTGAAGTATTAACTCACAGTGGAATTTATTTATTGATTTAAATAGTTACAAATCCCAGTTGTTTTTGTCTAAACTTTGTAAAAATAAAATTTTGTTAACACGTTTTCCTTGCAATCTATTGCGCTGTTGATTCAACACTTGAGAAGCCTTCGAAAAAAGTCTTTCGTAAGGTACTGAACTGGCTACAATTGTTAAATGTTTATAAGCTATGTGAAACAACTTTGGAAATTGCTGTTTAAAATCCGCCCAAATTTCCAGCGGATTTTCATTTAAACGACCAACTGTTGCTCTTAAGTAGACGGATATCTCATCTGAAACGCTTTCCTCGTTTCTATTCGATTTCCAGTTTTTATGCACTAATTTGTGGTGATCGCTCCAAAGACTGAAATCTTCTGATAATTGGTCCGATTTATCTGAGTCTGATTCGCCATGACTTTCGTCGAGACTAATTTTCATTAAATCTTTAATCTTTTGGATGGCACCTGCGCAAGCTAACGGATCATGAAAATGTATTTTTTTGAAACGTGGGTCCAATAGCGTAGAAATCGCCAATACTGAAACATGCTCAATAGCGCCCATTCGTTTGTTGATTTCTTTTAGAGTGAGTTTTTGTACCTCCAATACAACCGGTTCATCAATCACAAGAGCCTTGAGTTTTGAAACCATGCAATGCACTAAGGGAATTACTTTACTGCTTGTGCCGTATTTATCGCCCGATATTTCCTTAGTTGCAGCTTCAAGTGGACGTAAAACGTTAAGCAGTGATGAAGCAATGTTAAGTTCCATACCAGTCAGCAATGGAGGTGCTGTCTTGTGATGAATTAGTATTTCACTGACAATGTTTTTAAGTTCCAAAAATCGTTGAACCATGTAGTAGGTGCTGTTCCACCGTGTGGGCACGTCCTGTATTAATTTCTTTTCAGCGCGTACTGATTTACGCAAATCGTCACTTGCCGCACAGCTCTGCTTAAAAAAAGTTACAATGGTTTTGATTTTTAAGACAATTTTTTGCATTTCGGGAATTTGAACAATAATTTGTGCTACTAAATTGAGGGAGTGAGCAAAACATGGAATGTGCTTTCTCTTTCCGAATGCTATATCAACGGCTTTTATCATGTTCGCAGCGTTGTCAGTAACAACAGCAGAGACTTTATCCCATTCGTTACAGGTGTTGATCAGCATTTATGCTATATACTCCGATGTATGCCTTTCACTGAGTTGATAAACGCCCAAAGTCACCGAGTGAAACTCGGTTCCCAGACCAAAATGTGCTGTGACACCTAAAAAACTACGCATTTGTATATCCGTCCAAATATCACTAGTTAAGGTGAAATTTTCAACATTACGTAGCTTTGATTTTAATCTATTAGATAAAATATCGTATTTTTCATCAATCCACCCTGTTATGGTAGTTCTGCTCGGAATTTTGTAATGGGGAGCAACAACTTTTAACAAGTTTTTGAATCCTTCATTTTCTACCACTGAAAATGGCTGGTTGTCCTTGCAAATCATAAATAAAATTGCATGGTTTATTTTTCGTGATTTGTCACCAGCAGAAGTATATGAATAAATTTCAGCAAAACTATTTTTTTATAGACTTTTGAGTTTTAAGGCGTTTCTCGGGCGATTCTCCATCACTGACAATTTCATATGTCGAATCAGCTGGTGCTGCATTTGATGTAGATGGCTCAGCATTTGTGGTGTTTGGGCTTTCAACCACTTCGACCACATCGGATATTTTTCTGGAATCGATTGTGGTTTTTAGTTCTAAAAAATTGCTTTGTGGACATTTTTTATGTGTCCCATTAGATTGGTGGTATTTCCAGCCGTGCGCATAATTTTATGACACAGTTGGCACTTCGCTGTTTTGTCGTCCAATTTGCAAAAATACTTCCAAACTTTACTCTTCTTATTTGGCGCCATAACGGAATTCTGGAATACATATGAATGCGCAATTATAGCTTTGGCTTTATACATATGCACATATACCTACACTTCAACGTTAGTGTGAACGTGAACTTTTCATTTTTACCCATATCTTCGTTATTATTTCACTTTTAATAATAGAATTATAATTTTACGATTATAGCAATCAAAGAAATGTAAGAATATACATATAACATATGTATGTACATATTTTACAAGCTAACACTCAGCTGTGTGTACGCAATGCTCTCGTATTTATTATGTATATTATTAAATTACTTTTAATTATATATTTCTTTAAGATGTTTCATTACTCTATGTTTTGATATATTAACTATAGCAGAAAGTGAAACAATAAAGAAGATATGGGTCAAAATTAAAAGTTCGCGCTCACGTTTACATTGAAGCTGATTTGTATGCACATACATTTGTACATACACACATATAACACGTATATTTCGTGTAATAAACATATAATTAACTTACACATTTAACTTTTACTACAATCTTTCACTATACACTTACTCGCACTTCTCGCTCGTTGTTCATTTTATTCATTAAAACTTAGAAATGTCGCAAATTTATTTCACAAGAAAATGTGCACATATAACGGCGGACAGAAGCTACTCGAATCATTGAAATAATTTAGCGTTGCCATCTCCTAACTCGTTTTCTTTTATTAGGCTTATGATACATGTTACGATATATTTGCCGAAAACCATTTCAGCATAAAGCTGCATTCACACGCCTGAAATTTGTTTTTATGCAACTGAAGATATACGCCTGAAAAAGTTAATAGGTGTACCAATAAAACACTTTTATGTATCCAAATATAGCTCATTTACGTGTCAAAAATTACCAATTTGCAGCACTAAAATTAACATTCTATCGGTATAATGCAAACACAATTAGTTCACAAATAAATTAGCTCTTTTAATAATAAAGAGGTAAACAATTGCTCAAATTTATAACGAGTCTTTTTGTTCATTGTAAAGCTAATGGCACTATTTTTATACAAATCAATTCATAAAAAATAAATAAGTTTGCATATGCTTCATAATCGAAACATTTTATGATAGCTTTAAAATGATTGTTAAGTCTATTTTATTCTTTAGGAATAGATTTTGAATATTGTCCAACTTCTATGAGTTGGCTGGTATATGTGCATATATGTATGAATATAAATATTTCAACAAATTTTTAAATTGAGATAAATGCATGAACATATGTATGTAACAGTGATATGCTTCGAGTAACAATTTCGAGTTTCGAGCCAACTCGTT